CTTTGAGATTGTTTTTATGACAAATAGAATTTGAAACATCTTGCACGAAAAGTCTACGAAGACTAGGTACTACTAAAAATAGTCCTCATAATGATGATGCTAACTTTTTGGTCCTCATGAGGAAATGGTGTTTTCACTCTCAGTAGCAGTCCTGATCATGTTATGGAAATGTTTTCAATAGAGTGTTTTTTTCAACATCTTCCATTAGATAATTACACTAAGTATATCATATGGTAAGGCACGCTGAGTTATTCGAAGTTATTAAAATAAAAACGTGACCCTGCATATGAACTTTCTACAGAACACAGTTCCAACTGAGTGACAAATTTTTGACATGGCAAATTCATCAGTTCGAAAAATGTGTTTGTTTCAATCTTTGGATTTTCAGATGATCAAATAAGACATCGTAATTACTCAACAGGTTTCATCCAGAAGTAAAGTATTATGACAAAACTGTTTCAAAAACTGATGGTCCTTCTAACATTGAAGTTCTAACATCGGCAAGTTCTATTCAATTATCAAACAACAAAAGTTAGGTACTCAGGTTTTCTTCAAAATGGAATTGAAGATCATCTTAATGATCGAGTTATGGCCCAATCGTTCTTCATTTGAGAATATATTGAAGAACGGCTTTTTATGCAACAGCCTCAGCCAGCATGAAATTTCAGAAGAAGGAATTTTATGGGTTATAACGCCTCAAATGTAACAAAACATTTTGAAAGAAACAATTGAACATTTAAACAATAATACATATGAAATTATAGTTTTACCAACTTATTCCTAACTGTTATCATAAACATTAACATTTTGGGACTGTATTTTTCTGATATCATCATTTAAGGTCTTGAGACCTGCTTACGTCCGATTATAGTCATTTAAATTCAATATTGAAAGTGACTCCAAGAAATGAAGTGGGCAAAAAAATTTCAAAAAAATATTACAATTTGAACCAGATTGAGTATATGAAGAGCTCTTTCCAATGAATCCGAGTGACAGGAAAATTAAAAATATGCGGAAATTATTCTCTCCACATACAATTTTGCTATGGCTAATTTCATTTAGATACACCTGATACTCTAGAAGTCTCATAGATTTGTTAACACCAGGTATAGCTAGTACTTTTATTTTTCAAATCACGCTTTAAAAACATGTTTTTTTTTTAATGTTCAACTTGCAAATGTTGAACTATCAACACATTTTACTATAATGATACAACTTTGAGTAAAATTTGGGGTATCCTTATTATAACATCGATACCAAAATCATATAGGAACATAATAATATCTACTCATACTGGAATTAGGTATTAATTGAGGATTGAATTATTAGAAATTGGTACTTATTCATGAATTTGAAGGGGTATATTTTTAGGACAGAATGATTTTTGAAAAATACAGGATACGTATTTCTACCTCTCCATCTTGATACAAAAAACGTGAGGAACTTCCAAAGAAAGGAAAAAAACAATTCATTCCATTCACTCTCTACCGAGTGGTTTCTACGTAGGAATAAATTAACAATTTTTAAACTCAATATGTTTCAAAGAACATGTATTTTCGCATTTAACCTTCTGAAAATTATTACTGAAACCGATACATTGTATAATGATAATAGTTATCTTAGGCCGTTATCTCAGAAAAAGAAAGTATCATTTTACATTGCTTCGAGAGAGATTTTATGCAAACTTTTTTCCATAAATCAACTATCCCTTTGCTAACGCCATTAATTTATGGCTTCTTTCCCATATTAAGCATTTATCAGGTATTTGTTGTTGAACTGTTATGAACCCCACGGTGCTTAAAAAAAAATATATAAATATGGAGAACTTACTAACGTGAGAATAAAATATAAAATGGTTCAAAAACATTTGTTTCTACTATTTCCCAGAAAATAAATAATTCATTTTATCTCATTCAACTCTGAAGCAAAAACTCTTAATCGTCCTCGTGAAAAGTTTGGATTGCAGATGAAATTCATCTGCGAGCCACAGGACGGTAATACTTGAAAAGGATCAGCAATGTTACGAATCCTGCTCTGGCTGTCAACAAGAAAGTTCATACACCTATCAAATTTTGAAATTTTGAGCCACAACAAATCATTCTGAATATGAGGACTGAATTTTCTAGAGCGGATAGTTTAGTTCGAGAAACGACAATAATAACAAGTACACCAGTGAAATAGAACTCGAAGGCATAACAATATTATTTTATCCAATACGTCATGTTGATCTTTCTGATTGGCGTAGGAAAGTTCCATGAGAAAAAGGTGAAACAATTCAACATATTACGTATTATGAATTCCATTGTAATATACTATCAAATCTGTAGATTAAAACACATAACTAAATATTTTCCAAACAGAACCATGTTAGCACTATTTTTTAAGGAAATTGGCATCAAGAGATGGTCTTGATGATTTCATTTATTTGGGTAACTATTTTCATGAGGGGGAAATCAAATTTAAATACATTCTAACGGATGATGTCGAAATTGGTTGGCAAAAACATGTATCGAGAAAAAATGTCGTCACAGTTCTGGGGTAACGGAACAGTGGTTTTATTAGATTGATGGTATCAGCAATAAATATTTACAAAGTTTTTCAGGAAAAATGTGCCAGTAAGGATATTTTCTCTTCGCAGGAATTTGAATTCAAAAACAATCCAAATATTCCATAAACATATTTAGATTGGGAGGAATCGAAAGATTGTATATGTGGGAAAATACTGTAGTACCTAATAATAGTTCTTGTGATCTAGGTACTTGTTATGAGTGTTTGTCAACTGAATTGGGGAGTATTTCTACAACTTCTATAAATTAAATAACGCCAATTGACAGACAGTTCAAATATATAGAAGAAATAACTACGTCAGTTCATACGTTTATTCCGTTCAACGCCAGTGGTTCCAATCTTACATGTTATTTAGGACAAATGAAACTTATTATTGAAGTTCAGTAATTGAATAAAATTGTTAAATTGCTATCGAGTACATACCCGATTCATTGTCATCCTTGAAAAATTAAAATAATGACAGTCTTAAAATTTAAGTTTTATTTAATAAACTTGAGTCAAACTTACCTGATTCCTATAATTCTTAGCATCTTTTGTAATGTAATTATTTTGTATTATATGCAGTGTATGTACTCAAAGTCTTCAACATTTCATCATCAGCGTTTCATTTTCCACAAGTGGTCATTTCTCCATGATTGTTAGTTATCATTTGTATGAATATTTCAATCATTCACTTTTCAATTCAACCTCACTTTCCAGACGACTATGCCGTAAATGAATGAATGAATGAAGAATAAATTCAAAAAAATATTTTTGTTGAACATGCCTTAAAGATAATTTAAATTATTTTCAATTTCAATATGCGGCATATACCTAGTCACATTATCATTTACCAGTACGTATTCGAATCATTTATCACATTTGAAGTTCTATACATACAAATTATAGTCAATTTTCAACCCCTGTGTTATACCATGTGGGGACAACTACAAAATTTTACAGCAAGTATCTCCACGAGTGATTCTGCCATGAAAGTTAAAATTTGAAGTGTCATCAATCTCTTCGTAATGCCTGAACCCTTTCGGTATGTCTTTTATTGGAACAATTGAATTTAAAAGGCTGATTATTATTTCATAGCCAACATATGGTGAGGCTGATGTTCTTTCCAAGTTTTCCTGAACCCAAAATATAAATCTGTTTCCTAGAAGTTTCGTATTTTTCCGTGGTTCCAAACATAAATCATTACTGTGAATGAAAGAAATTGAAAACAAACTGAAAATATATTCTTATTTTCTTACACAGTATGATTTGATGAAGGCTTACCGGAAAAAAATTTCAAAATTTTTAGTAGATGACTTTGCTCCTTTCAGTATTCATTCAACAAATTTTATCGTATAGGAAAGTTGGGAGAGAATAGTGTTTTCAATTTTATTCGAAGTTTCCTTGTTTGTTCAGTATGAGATAATATTCCCAACAAATGTCAAACATATCTAATATATATGTAGCGTTGTTCAATTTTATAATCTTAAAATAAGAGCCACCAAAAATCTGTGTTGGTGTTATTTTATACGAAATTGGTTTTGCTGGGAGTGTTTATGTCTCAAGCAAGTATCGGGTCCTCGAGCCAATTACGCAACGTACCTATTAAAATTTTATTTGTTCTCGAAGATAAGCAATAATATTGAAGATTTAATAACTAAATTAAAAGATAAGAAAACTGTCCTGCGGGTCAAATTGGCACAGCTCTCTATAAACAGATTATGATTGATTTTATGCGTTCTTTATGAGTTGATGAGAGACAAGTATCTTGATTCTCCAACTCAGCAGATGCACGTTGAAGGCGAAACTGTTAAAAACAAAGTGAATCGACGTGCATTGCTGAGATAAGTATTGTGTTGAAATTTAAATACTGAAGGTAATACATCCAATGAGTTCACCAAGACACTCATTGAAATACATCGATAATCATGTAATAAAAGTCATTCTGAGGTGAGGTAAAGTGTATATATCATTGCAATTAACATTAATAAAAAAATTCCATGTATGTGACATTTTATGTAAATACTTGGTATATTCTGTTTCAATTCCGTAACAAATGTTTCGAATACGAACTGAATGGGGAAGATTTTCGTGTAACTGGAAGTTCATATAAAAGTAGTGGTTTTGAAAATATTGTTTCTACCCGTTTGTTTATGAAAGAATATTCTGTACATACGCTGTATATATTCATAGTTATCATTGTAACTGTTTTTTTCTTTTTTTGGAAATTTCCCACATATTTTATTTGATAATGAAGATAGTTAAAAAGTTTGTTTTCCACAAAAAATCATATTTTCTAAAATTATATCCCTCTCAATTGAAATGAAATTCCCATGGTTGTGATTGAATTATCAACCATATAAATGTGTATACTTACTGTTATATCTATCTCCAGTCTCCCGAAACATGCTAAGAAAATTGATATTACCGCACAGTCTATAACCTGCAAACGCCTCTAAATGATAGGAGCAACGTTTGGGGGCTATAATGGGGTTTTTACTAATTAAAATAATGTGGTTAGCTACTTTCGGAGAGTGGGTCATGGAAGAAATACTCTCGTCTGATAGGAAGTGGATTTATTCGTTGTGCTAGTTGCGAGTAGACTTAACTACATATAGACTTAACATGGGGAGAAGGAGATGATCATTTGATACCCCTTTGTATATATACATCAGAGTTTACATATATATAAACTAGTAAGTGGTAAGTAAATATAATTTCAGAGTTGTGATATTTAGTTAGTTGTATTCTTTTTTCCAGAATCACTGGTAGATAAGGCTTCACAACCAAAATGCAGCATTCAAATGTAACCAATGAACAGGATAATTGACAAGCAACAAGAGGTGTACTATTAATATAAGTAAAGCAATAGAAATAATGGAAAGAGCTCGCCTGATCAAGGTGTTGCCAGCGTATATCTTTCTCCAATGGATATTCTCTTCGTTCGAAACTTTGTAGAGATCTGGTGTGTTCATAAATGATCTTGAGATTCTGTGGTAAGTATTATAGTTGTAATCAATGATTTTCTGGTTGTCAGAGACTTCTTGTAGTACCGTAACAAAGGTAACAATATGCTAATCGTCAAGATATAACTAACGTACAACGAAGAGATAAAGCGAAAGGGCCAAACATGAAAAGGCCTGAAACAAAGTAAGGTTATACGAACAATTCTGTGCCAAGTTCCAGTTTTATTTGGGAGAGGTACCTATTAAGATACTTCTCAATGGATAGTTGACAAGCTAGTGGAAGACGTACCTGTATATAGTGGATGGCCTGAAGTGAGGTCTAACGATTATGGCTTGATTAGGAAGATAGAATAATTCAAATCCCAAAACACTGAAGTGGATATTTCTTTCTTTTCTCAAGAATAAGAAACTCTTATATTCACCTCCTAATACGTATAAGGCAAATTCATCCAAGATGTGAGCACAATTCTCAAATTCAGCTCTTGCCATGTGCCGTGATGATCAAAAAAAAAGGAAAGGATATCCCTCTTTCAAAGGTATGTCAACTTGTCATCTAGTCAGTTTTATTTCGCAATCCCATGAAATGGGTTAATTATTGCGGTTATCTGGTCGTCATGGTTATTGATGTCACAGACGGTCTGTTCGGGGTAAAATCATCTTCAATGACGTCACAGGTGAACCCTTTTAATCAAACCTTTCAATGAACTTAACAGAAGTGACACAGATTGCCAATATAACTCAACAGTGATGTAAATGTATATTTTGAAGAATTAAATATTAGAATGTTAGGTTATTTATTTCTCGTATTTGTATTTCACAGGAATCTCAGAGAACACTCGAAGCACCAATTACTACAAGGCAATTACAAACAAGAACTGATTGATGGTAAGTGATTGAATGATAACTAGATGCAATTGAATATACAGAGCGTATTATTTTCAGGGTACAGAAACTTATAATTTAACGGATCTCATGGAAGCACTATTTCAAAAATGTCATAACAATAAATAAATAAACATCGAAGTTGTATATTTTTTTATCTCTAGGTAATTTAACGAAAATCATAAAAAAGGTAAATTAACACGTAACAAGTCAAGAAACCAGGACCCTACATTGTCACACTCAATAGCAACTAGCTTCTATTTCTCAGGCAGAATGGTAGAGAAAAGAACAATGAATATAATGTACTGCATAAAATATTACCCAAAATATTGCCAGTGATGGAATAATGAAACAAAGGATAAATTCTATACTAAAATAACTGTACCTATATAATGAGCGGATGAGTACCTATTAAACTATGTCAACGGAGAAAGAACAAATAGAGGGATATAGGGATACAGTTTACACTTTTTCTGTCAATTTCTTGGTGGGTTGTCTGCTAAAAAATAGGTGCCTTTTTCAAATTTTTTTTATACCCATTCCACTATAAATTCAGTGTTTTGTCATAATCGTTGAATATATTTGCAAAAATTAAAAAAAAAATTCTTTATACTTTCTGCCACAAATACAGGACTGGAAAAGTTCTCTAAACTAATAATCTAATTGTATGAATGTTCCAAGCAACAAGTTTTCATCTATGAACCGTAGAAATTGAATTTCTGAGGATCTATCATTCAAAATGGACTATAATATTGCATATATATATAAGAATACACCTCTCTGCAATCCAGAAAGGGTTGCAGAAGGTTTTAAAAAGGAATATCAGCAGTTGTCATGTTTGACTCCACTCCTAGATATTCAACTTCAATACCTGTTTGAAGTAATAGTTTTGTGCTTTTTTTGTGAATTTGAAAAATTGCACGTCTCTATAATGTAGATAATTCACATCATGTTTTTAATTTGAGTAAAATTGCATTGGTCAGTGTTAATAATGTATTTACTATTGAATATTTGTAAATGGTAGGTACTCGGTTGAGCAGAGCAGTATTGATACTGAACTTTGCCGTGAATAAAAAAAATTGGGAGCAGTCACGGGACGCCTGGCAGATGTGAAACATCAATAATAATATTTTGTGACGCTTCTGATGATTGTTGAGCACTGAAATATTCATAAAAAGAATGTAATTGAAATATACATGAAAACATTTGATGTGGTAATATACTAGTGAACTCGGGAATTGCAATATATAACTGATGATCTTGAATTATTTTTTGTAAGGACGAAACACAAGCATTACAGAAAAATCATCAAGGCGGTCTAAATGCGGTGCCTGTTTATTCCACATAAACGCAGTCCTACAAATGAAAGAGTTCTTTAACAGTGAAGTTTGAGGTGTACTGAGTTGAACCTCAAACCGATAAGCAGTCACAGTCCGTTGCGTATTTTTGATAGATACCGCTCTTGGTGGAATCAAATGTGCCAATTCACTTGGACACTTCCCGTAAAAGTATTTGTAGAAGAGAGGCAAATCTTTAACTTTTCTTCGATGTTCCAGACTATCAAGGTTGCAAGTCATATTCGCGTTTCGAATCAGTCGAATGGTTTTTTTCTGGATGGAATCCAACAGCGTAAGAGTATGCTTTGGAGCGAAGCTTCATACATGAGACCAATACTCCAAAGAAGGTCTTATCTGAGCTTTATAACACGTCAAAAGTTGCTGAGGTATGTACAGTTTTCAAAGATAAATGTTTTAATATGAATTCCATCGTCATTAGAAAATCAATTAAGTGAATATTTTTCCTATGTTTCTGTTGATAACAAATAAGAAAAACATTCATTCGATACTGGGAAGTAAAAATGTGTGTTGTTTACAAACTGCTCAAGTTTTGATAAAATTACTTAGGTACATTATCCGTGAGGTTGTATGCAAATGGTGGAAAAATCATCACTTATATTTACAAAAAACATTTAGGTAAATTTAACAATACAATCTCAGTAACAGGTTGATCTTTTTTGAAAAATAATCAATTCTGAATCAATAGTTAAAATGAAAGTTATTACTGTTGAATTTATTGCAAGGCAGTAACGGAATAATGAAAATACTCTAAACTTGAAGTTTATGGATGTATTTTTTTTTTATTTTCACATCAAGGTTAGTTTACCAGCGATACCAATATATTCAGTTGAGGCAACTGAAAAAACTTCTCATAAAAAACTGAAATTATATGTATTCATAAAACACCCAACGGTTCCGGTACTGACGAGGGGCAAGGAGTCCAGAACCGGTCTGGTAGTCGTCCTGACCAAATGAAATTGATTTTTGGTTTTCATACATTGGAAGTTACTTACGAGGAATCTTCCACATGGAAGACGTTACACAGGTGCCTGATGGTTTTACTTCAGCTTTCTGTGCGGCATTAGCTACGTTAGTTGTAGTTTTGCCGTCGGGTATCTGCCACACATACCTACAAAGTGGTAGGTCCACATGACAGGCAAGGGGTAAGGTGTTCTCCACCTGAACTTGGGCATGTCATATGCACCTCTACGGAATTATACAACATTAGAATTCCAATACTTCGACTATTATTCCTGTGATCATCAGGGAGCTACGATATTATGATTCAGATTGGAAATTGGAAAAATGGAAAAAAACTCAATACTTACCTACAATGAATTGAAAGGGTTATATTTTTAGGAGTGATTAATTTTTGGGAAAGAAAGTTTTTGGCTTTCTACTACTCCATCTGATACAAAAAAATGGATGAGAGAATCTTCCAAAGAAAGGAAGGAAGTAATCAATTTGAAAATAAGTAACTCTATACATGGATGTGTAGATCATGCAAAGAAGTAACTTTCAGACACAAACTGAAAGAAAGTCCTCCTGAAACAGCTACTTTCATATAAACATTGAATTACACGAAAGAAAAAA